ACTTTAGAGGATAAAAAGATTGCAACATGAAAATTTCGTAGGTTACAGATATAGTGATTTTGACAAGAAAGGACTCTTCTGGACTGTAACTCTAGTTTAGGTCAGAGTACAGATGACTCAATTTATGGCTTATCATTCCTGACGGAGTGAGTTATTAAGTTAAATAGCCAAATTTTAAATAAGAAAATGTGGATTGTACTGCCGATTATTTTTTTCCCCAAATTGTGTATTAATCGCAAAATACAAAAAGCAAATTGTCAGATTCTCGAATAAATTATCAGATCGTACGATGAACGACCCGTTGACATGTGTGAACGTAACTATTTGGATTAAATGAAAATGTTTAGACGACTCACTTGAAGGGGTGATGAAGCTAGCATTTAGTTGAAAGCGCACGGTCGCCGCGGGTCGGCTGTCTGGAGGAGGAAAGCAATCAACCAAGGCTACATTGCCCTTGAGAAAATCAACTTGGCGATACCAGAGAGGAGGCGGCACCCCAGCTGGATAGGTTGCATGGCTATGGGCACCACCGTTTCCAGGTTGAATGCCGGTTGACCTGCCGTGAGCGTTGAACTGGTCAAATGAAGCATTTACTATGGGCATAGCGGGAAATTCACCCAGATCTGAATAGAAGGAAGAAAATTGACTGATCAGACCAATCGAAAAGAGAGAAGTATGAAGAAAATGTGCGGTGTGAAAGCGACCGAATGATAAAGATACAAGCAGAATGAGAGAAGAAAAGTAGAAACAATATAAAAAATTGAAAAGCTAAAAGAATAAACTCTAATTTAGAAAGTTAGTTCTGATTCACTTTGTCAGAAGACATGTAAGCAAATGAAAATAGGTTCAATTGCATTTATCCAATAAGATCTCTTTTGTACCTAAAAATGCATAAAGTCAGTACTAAATGGGTTATAAACAGAATATGACAGAAACTGAAAGGCAAATTCTCTAAGGAATAGTTAATAGGATGCAAGTGAAAGTGGCAAAACTCATTAGACTTTCTTAGAGGAAATGTAGACGGTATGTATGGGGGACAAAGAGCAAAAATGAAGCCTAAAATGCTGAAACCTTCTAGCATCACCTAACTACTAAACTAAACGTTATCACGAGACACTGACAGTGAAAACAGTTTATCACTCGAACCATCGCAAAATGAGGGGTGGAAAATTTGCCAGTCAAGTGCGCAATGAAGGGAAATTTAATGGTCATGTGTTTAGGTATCTTATCAAAGATGCATAAGAACAGAGACTAGCATATACATATTTATAAATAAAATCAAGCAAAAATGCATATATTCAATATAAATATATATATATATATATATATATATATACGTATTCGGACAAGCGGGTGTGTAAGCATGTTTCTTATATATAAATATGGTGTATTTATCTTTGCATTTTTGCTTGACTTTATTTATATCTGTGTATATCTATATGCTTGTCCCTATGTCTGTATGTATCCTGCATAAAGTACCTAAATGTATAACCGTTAATCTTCCCTCCATTACGCTACATTCATATATGCATGCATACATGAGAAACACAAAAGTAAATCCCAAGAGTTTAAAGAATAATAAATCAAATCTAAGCTGCTGGAAGAAGCTTGATTTTTATTTCATTCATGTTAGGATGGACAATTATTTTTTGGAAAAATAAATAATTAGACAGGGCTTAGCAGATCCGATGTTGGTGCTAAAAGATTAATTTGATGCTAAGAGCCTCTAGATGAAAAAGTTTACATGGTCAAATAATAAATTAGTCAATCATCCGTCTTCATAATAAAGTTATCTCAAGCAAAACTACATGTATGGAACCAATAAATACCCACAATTAGCGGACAAACCAAAGTAGATCGTTCACTGGAGTGTATCAGGGTGCCATTATTCTACCAAATCGACTAACCTATAAGTTAATCTATATAAGTAGCCAAGCAAATATCTGATTAAATACTAGGTCAGTTCTTCGAACTGTCTTGTTAAATGCGACGAGGTTGGCATAGACCAGATTATAAATTTTCACAATAAGACGATTAGTGACGTACTAAAAATCATTAAAGTTATAATATAACAAATATTCCCAGAGGTATCATTGGTGATCTAATGCATGAATGTTGAGCTGTCCACGGTAAAATTAAAAAAACACGACTATTCCATAAAATTTTACGCAGCAAAATTATTTCGGATTTTAAGTGGCCCAAATTTCTTTAACATTCCAATTATATTCATGTCACTCGGCCACGTTATCCAACATGCAAACGAATTAAGGGACTTTTAAGAAAATTCTAAGTCTTCTTTAAAGTCTGGGCTGTTGGTAGAAAAAGAGTGGATGGGATTGACTGTCAAAAGACTAGGCAATCTGTAGCTCCTAGTCTTTAGCTCCAAAACTTCACTAATATTTTAAGAGCTAAAATGGCTTTATAAGGAAGCTTGATATTTAGCTCAACTAAATAGTAATAATTCGGCAGACCGCAATAACAAAGGTAAACAGGGTAAAATTTGATGGAAAAATATCACTATCGCATCCAATAAATAGATAAATTAGCAATTTAGAGATAAATAGTCTTTTGAATATATGATGAGGCCCTATGGTGTGTATGTAGTCTCCTTTCACTATAGGAGCATGGTTTAATGTTATTTTATCAAATCGCATGCCCATCTAAGAGATATAGAATAAAGTGTCCTATACTTAATTCTTTGCTATTGTTTTCATGGCTTCGTCCTACATCAGACAGTTGACTTGATATGATTTTTTAAGACTACCCGAAAATACGATTAATTTCTGAAAATGAGGCAAAATTGAGTATTTTGACTAGCTTTGATAATATATAAATTGATTAAATTGATTAAGTCATATAAATGTTATTCTACTATTATTTATTCTAAGCCTACCCACTGTCAGTGCAGATAATCATTGCACAAGATGAGCTACGAAGTTTGAGGCATCATAACGAAAGGGAGAGTTTTTCCATCAGGATAGTCACAAAGCTGCGTCAAGCCTGACAAGTCTACAGTTTAGCCTGAATATGATTGAATCTTTGAGGCAAAAAGCAGATTGGAAGTCATCCCTAGAATGAGGGCCATTCTTCAGCGAATCGTAGGCAATTTTGCTGTCAAGCCCTGAACACGACTCAGTGGTAGTCTAAACACTAAGTAACTATTATTACCCTAAAATTGATTCAGCCTATCTTGATTAGCATGTACGCCGGCATCGTCGCACAAATGAACACAAAGTTCACACATCACCAAGAACAGATGCATATAACCAGGCCACGCAAGCAAACCGCATGAATAGATGAGAGCGGATACAGACAACTTCACATGCCAACACGAGAGCAGGCAGATTCGCAGGCTTAGGTGGTATGTAACGAGGATGCTAAACTAATTCTCCAATATACCAGATTTTGTTAGAGCGCAGAACTCAGATGATAAGAGTCGAGATCCAGCCAACTATAATCCAGACAGATAATAAAACTCCACTATATGACCAGATTGGTGTGCAAATGCATCAATAGCTGCATACAGAATGTTGGTTCAAATGACCCAGAGAACAGGTTAAGCAGATTCTAATGCCTAACAGCCCTGGAGGTATTTTGTTGCCATTAGTTCTTCGTTGTAGTGGCACGACGATTTTCTGCGAAAACCAAAGCAACACAAAAGAAATGGCTCAGTTAATGGAAAATACATGTGCCCATACTGACTGGCTGGCCCCTGTGTTAAGAGTGACTCACAGGTACCGCTAAGCAACGAATGGGGTTAGCCAGACGTGCTGAAGTATCAAATTGCAAAGAGAAAGGGTATCAAGGAGGTGAAGTAGAGATTGACCAAGAAAAAGCAATCCATATTGCACGAAGCAAGTAGACCAGCCTAAAGAAGTACCAGAACAAAGAAGTATACGAAATGTCAACAAGGCCTAAACTGACCCAAGGCCAATTAAAGGAAAAAATTCACATTTGAGGGAAGATGAGTTGATGCTTCTTCTACAGCTCGGACTCTCCTTGTTCATTCAATCGCTACCCCTGGAATCATGTGGGTCTGTAAAAGTGAGGAGTTTAATATTTGACCGAAATGTGTAAAGTTATTAGGCAATTTATGAATGTTTTAGTTTTTTGATCCGGTTAATCGAAAGATGTATAGAAATGCATAGTAAATTGGCCTTAAGGACGATATAAAGAAGAATGCAATTTCCGTGTGACTGCCAATCTTATCGTGGAAGTCTTCAACTGACCCCGGCAGATATCAGCTGTAACCCAATCTGTTACGCAAACAAAATTTTACATATTTAATGAGCCATCGAGTGATCTAGTTGGACAGCAAGTCAAACAAGAAATACGAACTTATTAAAGTCTGATAGAATTTTTGGTTTTAATAGCAAATTGTATGAATAAACAAAAGGTTAAACTGTGGGATCGTTTCTGTCTTCAAAATTTTACATAATAAATCCATGCTTCAATTGGAGGGTCGCGCAATTCAAGGGGCATTTTTAATCCCATATTACTAGCAAGTTATAAAAATCTACAATGACATCTGGCATGATGGCAGATTATACACAAATTCTTTAAGCTATATTCTATTTTTTAAGGATATTCTATCATTTAATTCATTTCCTAAAGAATAATAATAGACGGGCTGTTGACTATAATTTCGTATAAAAGTGCATGAAGAAGAGAATTGCAGTAGGTATGAAGACCAAGATGGTGTGGCCTTTTGTGTGGTCGCAGTCTCCTTTCGTTGTATAGAGGTTGT